CCAATCCAGAGTGCTCCACCACAAAATTAGCTCTGCTTTGAGCTATATTAAACTTGAGTTGCACCGATTTCTGCTGGCGTAAATGTATGCAGAGCCTTCGAGACAGGATGTTGCCCAGGCAGAAAGCGCTGCAACGTTCAGTCTGCTGGAGGGCTTGCTAGGGCTGGTGCTGCCTGAGGAGTAGGAGGTGTTGAGTAGGAGACAGAAAGAATTGCAACTGGCCCTGAAGAGTGACAAAAAAAATAAGGGTCCTGTGCAAAGGGGAAGCTTGTTTGGCAGCCTGGCCACTAGAGATATTGTCGATTCTGCCAACAGTTGTCGGGAACAGGGAAAGATATAGGGGCAGACTAAATAGAGATCTTTTCCCTAAGAAAGCCAGAAGTTAATGCTGATGATTTCATGAAAAAAAAAAAAAATAGAAAAATCCAGCTAGGGATAATAAGACTCCTGGGGTAGACCCCCGACACATATTAATTTTGAGTCTTCATTAAGTTAAACTTGTTTATTCAGAAAAAAAAAATCATATTTTCCTTGTGGCTTCTGCTATAGCTGTTTACCAAACACTACAGGGACACCCACACAAGCCTCTATAGAAATCAGGCTGAAATAGAGTTGTTTACTTCCCCTCACCAAAAATAAATACATAAATAAATTAAAGGGCCCCAATGACAGCAACATTCCCCTCTCTCCCACATGCTGAATTCCACCTAGCTGATAGAAGAAGTAATTTACTCACAATTAATGTCTTCACAGACCTCCCTCAACCTTTTATTGTGTCCCGCTGCCTGCTAACAATAAAGCTGTCATCTCTTCCATTTAGACTAGGTCACCTGTCTTTCAACTGGCAAGTGCATCTTCTGATCTCCAAGATGCTCCTTCTAGACAGCTCTTCAAATATCTGCAGCTGACACCGACTTCTACCCACGAGATTCAGAAAGAGCAGAAAAGTGGCCATAAATAGGGATACCTGTCTTAAATTAGCTGTGCGGACTGTCGGGTGAAGATAAAATGAAGATTTATTTAGAAATCTACAAGAGCAAAAATGAGAACAGTGATTTCTTTCCTAGCAATTGGAGATGAGTAGAGGTAAAATTCCTTTTGAAAGAAGAGTCTTGGGAGAAGCGAGACAAGCTTTTATTGGCAGCTGAGAAAATATTATGATAAACTATCCCAAATGCAATTACAGAACGAGTTATACAGAACAGCCAGGTAGGATACCATGGGACATTGTGAAATCTCAGCTAACCTAACAATACTGCTTCAATGTGATGATCAATATTAAATCTGAGAAGGATTATTACCATCGGTAGCAGTCCATCCTATGTGAAGTAGGCCATACAATTACACATAGTCATCCCTGCCTCAGAACTGTGGCATATATTTGATTTACAACATACCATTCAGAAAGAACTGCTGCTCTTCACTGAAAAGTTGGTATATTTATTATGTCTGCAGATGAGTTTCTCAAAAGTTAATGGTAGGGCCAGGTGAGGAGTTACTTCTGCAGTTTTGATCATCCACAAATAGACACAAGGAACAATTATTCTGCATTGGTGACCCATGTGAATGCTTTTAGGTGGCTAAGAAAGGTCTGCAGAGATTCAGAGAGATCTGAAGATCTGTAGAGATCTATTTCCAAGATGATTAAACCATTCAGCCGATTCTCCCTGAGAATCAGAGCAGGTCTCAAATCACACCAAAGCCCCCTCAAGTATACAAATCATATCCAGGGTTCATGTTGATTTGTGGCATGTCTTCTTCTGAACTCAAATTGCAATACAATACTGACGTGAGGTCATTAAAAACTATGTAGTCTTATCAGAGGTCCTTTTACTATCTAGGTAGTAAACAATGAAAATAATCTGCCAAGAGTTCATGCATAATTAAAATAATTGTATTACTGATATTCAGGGCTTTTTGAAGTTGCACTGCTTTTGGGGGTGGTTTTTGCCTTTAGATAGTAAGCCTCTTTGCCAGAAGTTGTAGCTTGTGCCTTGTGGGTAAGGACCCAGAATCTGGATTAGATACAAGCTGCTTGTCAGAATTTCATATGTCACCTGACAACACTACCATTGGCAAATGTTTCTTTAAGAGCCACTTGGTAGGCATGAACTTGGGCATATAAAGTATATATGCAAAATGCACTGTGGAATAAAAAAAAAACATAGAATAAAATGAAAAAATGAAAAGCAACCAGCACAATCTGTCACTTCTTTACAGACTGAGTAAAGTTTCACAACGGAACAATCATTTGCATTTTGTTGTTTTCTCTTGAACCCACAAAATTCCTTTCTTCATCCCTCACCTTCCCCCACCCCTCTCTTGTAGGAAACATATTCATTAAACAGACGGGAAAGTGGCCAGGTTGGGATCCCATGTAATTCTTGGCTTGAGGTGCTTCATGAATCGCATTTTCACACTTAGGTTATCTGGTAATAAGCTTGGCCAAAAAGGATGCTGTAGCAGGGAGAGATATCTGCATTTGCAGATAGTGTAGTGTGGTAGCAAGTTCACCTCAGAGCAGCTTCTCACTCAGGAGTCTGCCTCCTCCTTCACAGTGCTCCTTATGCCCCTGCTTCTCCCTTTGATTTTGTTCTGGTTACTCGATGCCTTGCAACGACAGTCAGTTGTTCATTTCCGAATTGTAAGCCTCATAAGGCATATTACGATTCTTCAAACAAGGCTTGATTTTGCCAAGGGTTGACCTTGAGAAGTGCTGAGCATTCTGCCCTTAGCTCAGCAGCATGACGTGTCCCTGCGTTTAGTTTCCAGCTAGTCCTTTAAAATCGAGCTTGTATTTAAGCTGTTTGGTAGATTGTGACCTGAGGATACAGCTCTTGGCGGATTCCGGTTTTCCAGGACAGAGTAATCAGGAAGACATTTGTACTGGGGCTACACTGATGTATTTATTCCAGATGCTGATATCTCTGCCAAGGGCTTCTGTATACCCTGCCTTCCAAGCTGACACATTTTGTCCTGTAAAGTATGGGTTTTTTTATACTGTTCCCAGAGCTTTTCCGCAAAAGGGGACTGCATGCAATATGGATGCATGCAGCAGGGTTGCAGAAGTGTGGACAGTCATAGGGTCTAACTGGGTTGCCTCTGGTAAGAACATTTCACTGCCATAGGAGAGAATCCTTCCATGGTCACATAACGGCTCAGAATCCCTTTGCAGTCAGTATAGATGGGACGTTAGTGGTGTAGGCAGCAATATGTTGTACTCTCCCGATCAGCATTGACCATATGGTCTGTTACACATGTCTGCAAGCCTTCCAAGGCACTTGTGGGTTATGTCTAAAATCTACAACCCAGGAGTGCCTCCATGGCCCCAAATCTGGGCACTTCTCAGGTGGACCCCACCTTCACACTGGGGCGAGTCTTGGGTGTGCATCAGCCTGTCCTTTTGTCCCACCCACTTCTACAAACCTCGGTGTCCTGCAGAGTAAGCTCAGGCCAAAAGACAACCATGGCAGGTTCATCAAGACCTGCAACTTGGGAAAGCAAGGGTCAGATTTGGAGTCTTCCTACCCTACATTCTAGATTTAGCCCATGTCCTCTATTGTTTTGGAGACCTGTGGTGTTCTCTTTGGGGTAATTCACACCAGCTGCCTTGGATTACAGTTTTAAAGCTTAATTTCATTAAAAATAGGTGTTTCAAAAACAACCTTGCTTTTCTGTCAGTGCAGAGGTTATCCCATCCCTCTGTCACATCCCAGCACAGGATTTCTGCTTCTCTCAGCCCCTCAGATATCTTGTAAAGTTGTGCCTTGCTGGTTAGGGACCCACATAAAACCCCCATCTTAGGAATTCACACT